CAGCCGTCTTCTCAGGGTTAATATTGTACCATGTCATGTAAAATATGGAAACATCGTACAAGTATATCTACATGCATGTAATGCAATAGTTTTAGTTTAAAATTTGCATGTAGTTTTCTTTCCCATTTTCAATCACTCTGCTGAGATGTCCTATTATTTTTTTATTGTGAGCATTTTTTTATTTTACCTCACTGTGGGGGTTTTCTAATAATGGTAGGGTCTAGATCATCTCAGCGTTGGCAGCTGTTGATTATCTTTTCCCTTGAGAGCTGATAACATTTCCCAGCTTTTTGTGTATGTAGTGTAGGGGAGGAAGACAATTCCTCTACCCTTTAGGTCCTTCTGGCTGGCCTAAGAATTAAATTGACACGAGACAGAGTAACGGGAGAAAACAAAACAAAGTTTAATAACATATATACATGGGAGAAACCCAGAAAAACTGAATAACTCAGCAAACTGGCCAAAGCCACCACCTTAAATATCATCAAAGGAGGACCCTGGCTGTAGTGGTTTGGTTCCTCAAACAGGAAGAAGCCAATTTACATGGAGATGGAAATGCAAATGTTTGATAAACAAGTGTTTGCTGGGCCACCTATAGACAATGTGACTGGAGAGACAGAACTTTGATAAAAATGGGCTTGCTGGTGCCTTTCTGTCTATCATACCCATTTTACATTGTACTGTAGCTAGCTTATGGTAATAGCTCCTTCCTGGAACAGGCTTTCTATCTCAAATTCTTTTAGGCAGTTACGGGGAAGGTCAAAGTTTCCCTCACAGTCTTTTGTTCTTAAAAATGGTCAAGCCAAAGAGACACGCTTTGGGGTGGCCAGTTCTGATCCCCCACAGTAGTAGTTTTTAATATGTCCTGGACATTGCGAATGTTATGTTGTGTAGACTCAGTACTTCTTTATATTGCTGCTGAGAGTGTTGGTGATTTTTCTTTAGAAGACAGTTAGCTTGATTAGGCTCAAATTGTACACTGTCATACCTGCACTTTGCCCTAGCTCAGATCTCAGTTCAGCTCTTTAAACCTTAGCTGCAAGCCACCTTTAGTTTGCTCTGCACCTGCTGGTTGATGAGTCAGCTGAAGACTACTGCTGGGTGTAAATATGGAATTAGGCATTCTTCTCTGGCTCTCTCCTTTCTGAGGTTCCCCTCTCACTGTCCCATAGCCCTGGTTGAACCAGCGCTCCTTTTCCTTGTTCCTTTGGCCTGAAAAGCTGCAGGTTTTGTTTTGTTTTCCTCTCAGAATTTTAGCCTCTCAGCCTTGCCACTACTGTGACTGTAGTTGCTCTTAGAGCAAAGTCACAAAAATGGACAACTCTGGGGCCAGCCATGTGGCCAAGTGGTTAAGTTCACGTGCTCTGCTTCGGCAGCCCAGGGTTTCGCCAGTTAGAATCCTGAGCACGGACATGGCGCTGCTCATCGGACCATGCTGGGGTGGCGTCCCATGTGCCACAACTGGAAGGACCCACAACTAAAAATACACAACTATGTACCGGGGGACTTTGGGAGAAAAAGGAAAAATAAAATCTTTAAAAAAAAAAAATGGACAACTCTCTTCTGGTTGCTTGCTCTAGATTTCCACACCCCCTAAAACTACCTGCTTTGTTTCATCTCCAGAATCTTCCAGTACTTTTTTTGTTTGTTTTGTTTTTGGTATTTTTTCCCATAATTATTTGTTGGAGGATCTGTAGTTAGACACTCATTCCTTCATACCAGATAAGAAAACCTCCCCTTTCTTCTTAAAACCTTTCTCATCTGTTTATTTCCACCATACTCTAAGGCCTCTTACTACTTCTCTGTCCAATGGCAAAGTGTAACCCAAAGCTCCTCAAAGTCAGATACACCTGGAAAATCCCAGCGCTTCCCCTTGTTCACTTTTGACTTTGGACAGTCTCCCAAACTCGACTTTAGTTTCCCCATCTATAAATTACTCTAGATTCCCCATCAACAAGTCAGAGATTTTACTAATTATTAGAGGAAGGAATAATTGAGTTTTAAGTGGCATTCTACATGAAGCACATAACACAGCACCCAGCACATGACGTGTGCTAGATAAACGCTCTTACCCGTCTCAGTCCTTCAAGGGCTCCTCTTCTTCTTCACGGCCTTAAAATGGCACTTGGCCTTACTCTACAGACCTTCCTCTGGGATCTCATTCACTCTTTCGGCTTCATCTCCCCTCTTAAAAGCCAAGACTGCCAAATCTGGTCAAAATGTGCCAGGAACGACAAATGTAAAGATCTCGGTACCTACTGAATAGCCCATGTGGATTTCTCATAGGCCCTTCAAACTCATGTCCAAAACTGACCTCTTCATTTTCTCTCTCTGTCCCCTGCTTCGCATTTACACAGTTAATAATAGCGCCAAATCTAAGTGTCCCCTCAATCTTTCCACTCCATGTTTCTCAAATCAGATTTCCAAGTCCTGCTGTTCTCCTTTGAAGGTGTCTCATCTTCTCATTTCTGTCCCTGCTCTGATTTGGGTCAGGCACTCACCATTTTGCAGCTGTGCTACTGCTGTGCCCTCCTGCCTTTAGTCTAATCCAGCCAGTCTACTACCTAACAGGATTTTCCCCAGTTCAAATCTTTTAGCCATGTTTTTTTCATTGCTTAAAACCCATCGTTGGTTTCACAGTCCCTTCAGGATAGAGCCCAGCTCCTTAGCAGCATATGCGGAGTGTATCTGCTGCCTCTCTCGTCTGCATAGGCAGGCGCCTCACGCTCTGTCTGTATTGAGTGCCTTACAGTTCCCCAAATACGTCAGCTTTCCCAGGCCCTTGTGCCTTTAACACCGGCCCTCCCAGCCCCACCCTCCTCACTTGCTTCTCACCTGTCCTTTGAAATTTAGTTCAGGCAACACTTTTTTGTTTTTAATTGAGTTCATAATAGTTTACATCGATGTGAGATTTCAGTTGTACGTGATTTCTTGCCTGTGACCACATACGTGCTCCCCTTCACCCCCTGTGCCCACCCCCCAGCCTCTTCCCCTGGTAACCACTGAACTGTTTTCTTTGTCCATGTGTATGTTCATATTCCACATATGAGTGAAACCATCTGCTGTTTGTCTTTCTCAGTCTGGCTTATTTTGCTTAGCATAATTCCCTCCAGGTCCTTCCATGTTATTGCAAATGGGATGAATTTGTCTTTTTTCAGCTGAGTAGTATTCCATTGTAAATATGTACCACATCTTCTTTATCCAATCATCGGTCGATGGGCACTTGGATTGTTTCCATGTTCAAGCAACACTTTTTGTTTTTCGCATCCCCTCAGTGTAAGTTGGAGGCCTTTCCCATGATCCCATAGCACTCTGTAGAGCACTTATCTCAGGGGAACTCGTTATCTATTGTCACAAGACTGTGAGCTCCCTGAGGGCAGACTTTGTGTATACATGCAGACACATGCACACACTCTCAATCCTGTAGGCAGTGTGTTTATTTTCACCTGAGATCAAGGGCTAGAGATGGCATTTAGGAATTTAATGAATAATGTTACCCAGCAGGGGCTCTGTCCACCCAAAGCACACAGAAGCTGTACTGTGGTACGCTGGTATGCAGTCAATTGGTAAGGAGACCGAAGGAAGGCCCTCAACTCTGTCTCCCAATCCAGGGCATGGGGTGAGGTTTAAGGGATCAGGGCAGGCAGGCTGGTATGCAGAAGCACTGGCAGGATGAGTTTCGATTGGCGGATCAGAATTTTCTCTTCTGCACATGCTCCTGGCCGGCTCCCACTCCTGAAAAGTAGCTTTAACATTCTGTTGTTAACATGAGGTCAGCACAGTGAACAAGGGTAAGGCTGTTATGTAGGTTTGAGTCATTGCCTTCTCTCTTGATAGGAATTTCTAGACACTGAGTCATCTTCTCCTGGCACGGAGAGGAAGGCACCCTTAGAAATGCTGATTTCTCTTATAATTGTAAATTTCCCTTATAAATGGGTAACTTCTACTAGGTTTGCAGAGCTTTTCCTGTGTCTGCTATTTCTAAAAAATAGTCAGCCTAAAATAATTCTTATGCCAAAGAGGTATATTTTGGGGTGGCAATTTCTGTTCCTGGTCCTGTGGTTACAATAAGGGTCCTACTTAACCTTTTCTCTTTGATTTCAATCATTTGTATGAGCCATAGCCATCATCTTCATTATAAATAATCATCATTGAAACATATGATGTACTTAAATTTTAGACTTTGAGTGTTTACTGAGGCCCAGTCAATATTTTCACACTAAATCCTGTGACTGAGGCCTAGGGTCTTACATAACCTAACCGATGATTATACCTCGCTGTAGAAGAGTTTTCCAGCCTTAGCACTGTTGACATCTTAGGCTGGGAGTTCTTTGTTGTGGGGACTGTCCTGTGCATTGCAGGATGTTTAGCAGCATCTCTGTCCTCTGTTCGCTAGACGCTAGTAGCAAACCCCTTGCCCACCCCACTTGTGACAATCAAAAATGTCTCCAAACATTGCAGATGCCTTCTGGGGAGCAAAATTGCCCCTAGTTGAGACTCACTGCTCTGGAACTCAAAATAGAAACCTAATTCATGAAATGCCTGACAGTTCTGCTCTGCAACCATCACCAGTATATTTATCAGTTCACCTGGTTAAAAGCATATGATGTCATTCCAGTTTTGAAGAATTACTTTTGCTCTTGCCTCACTCCTTTCAGAAACTTTAAAAAATGTGTTATTTGATTTTTACTTCCTAAGTGGCACTACTCTCTTCTCCTTTCTCCAGGAGCTCATTTAACCATTAAACTTTCTGAAAATCTGAGAGGAGTGGGGGAGTTGAAATCATTAAGTGCCTTGTTCCACATATTTTAAGCTTTAAAAATTGTTGCTGATGGCAGTTAGAGAGAGGAGCAGACTTGGTGTTGAGTTATTATGGTTAAACTGTACAATCTGAATTTGACATGGTATGAAAACTTTTAGTCAAATCCTTCTCACATCTCAGCTTTCTTTGCGTTGGTTGTCTTTAATTTTGCGTCTCCTCCCTTTTCTCTTCTTTTCAGACCATCCACGTTCTTATGGGAAATGCTGTGCAGCCCTTGCTGACTTCAGTGGGAGATGCTATAGAGGCCATAATCATCACCATGCATCAAGAAGATTTCTCTGGGTAATAATTTTCAGTCAGAATTTTCACTAGCCTTTACTGCATTTGTTTTTCATTCCCACCTCCGTCCTTATCCCCTAAGCCTCCTTGTCCCTCTTGTGACCGGGTCGGCCTCCCACCTGATCCTGCTTTATCCATTGTGAGCACCATCAGCGGATTGAAATGCTGCACTTCTTGTTTTCATCTCTCTCTCCTGTCGTTGAAACGTAGAATCACGGATGTCTTTGGGCTGCAGCTGGGCACTGTGGGGCTTTTGGTAGTTTGTACCATCTTCCCTTTCCAATCTTAGCCTTTTCCTTACTTCTCCCAAATACGCTGCACTCGAGCCTCTGGCGTAGGCATGATATTCCTGTGTACAGTGTCCTGCCTGTGCCACTGTGTCAGTCCACATCCCGCTCTGGCTCAGAGGGCAAGCTCCTGCTCAAGCCCCTCCAAGAATGATTTTCCATTCTCAGAGCTCTGTGGCAATCTCATCTGGTCATGTCACACCTAGCCAGAAACACTTTAGCCTTATTCCATAGCTGTTTCATATGCACGCGTACTGCATATCCACGTCATATGCATCTTGAGAGTAAGAAGCATAATTCCTAACCCAGTGGTTACTGAAATCTTTTTAAATAGGGTAAAATGGTTTTGACTCAGTATATTAGAAAACTATCTATGAAGAATTTGGAATAGTTATTTGCACATGCTTAGTATAATTTTTTTTTAAACTTAACCACACTCTAGAGCTAAACATTAAATATTAATATGTAGATATATGTTTTATATTCCTAGTTCATAGTTAGTTACTGTTTTTGAACTGCCCTGTTTCTCTTTATGTTTGTGTTATTTAAGAGAATATCTACTTTATTAAATTTTCAGCCACTAGTCTAGCTGTTTGTAGAAAAATTGTGTCATTTATATACTGTCCTTCAATTTTTCAAATCATTTATCTTTTCATTTATAAGGTATCTTTTGGAGGGTAAAAGGGTCAGTCTCTATTTTTAATAATGGTGTGAAGCACATAAGGGTAATGTGAATTCTACATAAAATGCTATAATATTTGGCAATAGGAATATAAAACTGCTGGTTACCAGTATTTGGGAGGAAATGAATTTTGTTCAAAAGTGATCTGAAATGTCCCAGTTAGACCAATCATCAATGCCTCTGAAAAAGAAGCAAAAATGAGGTAATTTTTGAAGGCTTATTCTATAGGAATGGTCAGATAGTCACTTCAGTAAGTGTGTTGGTGAGCCAGGACTTGTGCCTACAGATGACACGTTAGACATTAAAAGTTAGTTTCCCAAATAGGTATGTCATTACTAGTTTGGTTAAATACTGGTGAGCCAGATCAGTCATTTAATACTCTCTGCCATGAGTGTGAAGCATTTTTTTGAGCTGTCTAATGTCCTTCATTTTTTTCCCCAAGTGGCCTTTGATGGCTCCATTTCAGCACTCTCCATACAGCAGACATTTGAGATTCGACTGATGTGGAGGACAGGCGTGTGGAACAGTGTTGCACTGCTCCCCTGGCGGTGCTTTTCTCGCGTTCTAGAACCTCGTTATTGGTGACTCTGTCATGCCATTTCATGTACATGCGGCTTATGTGAAATATAAGGTGAAGTTGGATTAGACTGTGCAGGAAGTAGGAATCACTTTTATAATAAAAAACAAACAAACAAATAAAAAGCCCCAGGGTCATACATGAACTCATAATAGTGAACCCCTGCTTTCTGAGTGCTCTCCACCTGTTCTGGGTAAAAAGAGCAAAGCAGGCTTACCTTCTAGGCCAGGCTTACATGTAGTGTGGTTGCAGAATCCTCCGCTATTGAAAAAATACTCCTCAACATGATTCCTGGTATTTAAAATGTATTTAATAGCACCAGTGTGTTTTTTTCCAAATTAGATGAAGCTTAAAATGTAAATGTTTGACTGACATAGTACATCGATTGAAATTCTTTTATTTAATGTAAAATGACTCATGTCCAGTTACAGCTCTGAATGAGAGAGAGAAGACAGTGAAAGTAGGAGGACCCTAGATCCTCGAAGTGATAGATGGGCACCTCTGACGAGGGGAGAGTAGGCACACACACCAAAAAGTTGGCGACGGCAAGATGAACATCTCCCACTTCTCAAGTGTGCATTTGTTAAGTCTTTCTATCTTCACCTTGTGTATTCAGGCCCTCATTACAAAGATCCTTAAATTTCTGCACAATTTACTACCACACTGTATCAATTGAGAACTTCTTAGTAAAAGCTTTAGCATAATTTGGAAAACTGAGCTTTAGCAGTTGCCAAGCAAGTTTTGTATTCTAGTAAATTTAAATCAAGCTTCTAATCCACACGGAGAATTGATAATACATATTTCAAAGTTTTGGTCTAATCATTTTATTTTACTTATACCAACACATGCTTATGGAATTTGTTTTACTGTGTTATTTTCTAATCCTCAAGGAAATCATCTCAGCTGACCAGATTAAAATTCCTGAAACAATCCTCCAGAGTAGTTTCAAGATGGTAACAGTGCTTTTGATAAAGCATAATATGAAAGAGATTGGTCCCTTTTTTTTTTTTGCAACCTAGCCTTTTGGATTGATGAAACCTAAATAAAGATAGATCATGCAATGGTCTGACTCTGGCAAAACCAAACCCCTCATGGAGGTCGCGTCACTTTGGCTATGCCTGCAGACTGCAGCAAGCAGCGCACCACACCGTGATCCTGCAGACTGCAGGCGTCCACCGTGCCCCCTCAACAGCCTTCCCAGTTAGGACAGCCTTCTCACACCCAGCAAACTCTCTCCCTGCTGGAACAGGAGCCTACTTTCTCTATTTCTATCTGCTTCTGGAAATGGAACACCTTTGGTTAGCATCCTACTTACAATAACTATGGCTGTATTTGAAAATAAGTAAGTTCACCTCATTCTCTTGCTTTAGGCGTTTGAACCATATCTGTTGTGCTGCTCCAGACCATCACCAATTTCTCTGCGTCATTCCCAGAACATGGAAACATTTAACTTATTTTTTGAAATTATGTAGCTGATGATCGCATTGGCTAGCTAATTAATATCAGGTGATTTCTAATTTTGGTATAACTCTTCTTTCCTACAAATATTTCACGTTCTTTTAATATATTCCTTAAAGAGCAATTATAAACATTCAAAAATTATAAATAGTGTTTCATGGAGCATCAGCTGGCATCATCTGTTGATCCAAATTAAAGCCTTTCCAAACCTCATCATCTGGGAGGAAAAAATTGCTCGCCATGTGTGTTGTTACATAACCACTTCCACAGTCAGAATTCTGCTCTCGCACGGATCAGATTAAATAGCACAAGAGCAGAGACATCTTTGCCAAAAATTTGTTTGGAGAAGGCAGCATTTTCTGCCATTACCAAGTGTAAAATGCTATTTCAGGGTCCATTATTGACTTATTCACTAACCAGGCAGGACATGTGAGTGGATGGAGAGAGTTGTAAGGCTGGGAGAGACCGTGAGAGGTCAGAATGCATAGAGCATTTGTACGGCTCATCCTTTGGCTATTTCATTCTTAATAATCTTTTGATAAATGAATTCTAAGATTCCTTCAGTAATCTTCCTAGCGTCTTATAACAGTCTTTAGAATATAATTGAAACATTGTTTTTTATGCTCTTTAACTCTTAGCAAAAATAAACGATGCCTTTTCTACCATTAAGGGAAAAAGTTGCTTAGAATTGAAGGAGCAGGCAGAGGGCAGAGAAATAGTGTCTTTTAGTGCATTGGCTGTTTCTTTCTTTTGCAGGTCATTGACCACCTCAGGAAAGCCTGATGTTCCTTGTTCTCTGTACATGAAGGAGCTGCAAGGTTTCATTGCCAGAGTTATGAGTGACTACTTTAAACACTTCGAGTGCTTGGATTTTGTCTTTGACAATACTGAAGCTATTGCCCAAAGAGCAATCGAACTTTTTATCCGCAATGCCAGTCTCATAAGACCTCTTGGTGAAAGTGGGAAAATGCGACTTGCTGCTGATTTTGCACAGGTAAATTGATGCATAGCTACAAAGAGGAAGATGTTTCAGCCTCAGTATTATCTATGAAATAAAAGACTAAGTCTGTATTCTTCAGTGTCTTTAAAGAGTTGAAGCATGAAGAAAAATAAGTTCATTTAAACCTAATTGATAACAAAGGAAGGAATTTAAAGATACTTTCATACCAGATATTTTTTTCTTTGTGTTAACAAAAGAATCATCACTCATCTTTGATATTTCAAGATTAAGGTAGAGTAGCTCATTCTACAGTAAAGCAGCATTTCCCATATTTATATAATATGAGGCTTTCTCACTATTTTGCTATCCCACCAGGTCAGTGTTGATAAGAACCATTGATTAACCTTGCTGGAAAATAATGTAAGCAGTAAATTTATCCTTCAAACAGTGTAAAGGGACTTTGTGTTGTTGTATAAAGAGAAAGAACTCTCACACGTCCATAATCCTCTAGAGGCCAGCTCAGCATTCCAGGACTGTGTTCTGATTCATTGAGATGCACAGAGGACCAGGTAGATACAGAGTCTGATTATTTGTCTCCCTCTATTAAATAGAGTCCTTTCCTTGTGTGTGGCCAGCCTTGAAATATTTCCGAGCTTATCTGATGTGGCTGAGGTAGAATGACATTAAAATAGCAGAACTGTAATCTGCTCTTATAGAAAGGTTTTTTTCTTTGTCCTTTAGAGAGATTTTTAAGAAGCCTTTCAATACTATCAAAGAAGAAACAACTTAAATGTAGACTTTCATTAAAAGATTCAGAAACAGATAATTCATGTTTACTATCATGTCAAAGGGGAACTCGTTTTTTAAGCCTTTCAAATCTGTTAGCTTTACTAGTCGAAATAGTTATTCACATGAATTATTCATAATGATGTGCCAGATCCTCCCTGCCTGTAAAGACAAATTTTAATATCCCCATTTATTCCTGTGTGTGTCTGGCAGCCAGTCTGGGTGGAGTGTTCCCACCCCAGGGAAAGGATGTGGCGACTGCTTGTGGCAGGGGGCGGTACCTATAGAGTTACAGAAGAGGACGGGTCCACAGCCTCATATTTCAAGAGCCAGGCTCTTTGCATATTAATTGGTCTAGAATTAGTCATTTTCATCCCCAAATTATATGCTTGAGACCAACAGACTATAGTAAAAAGCCTTTAGTAGCCTCAGCATGAAAATAGAAATTAATTGTTACCATTAATGTGCTCCTTTTAGCTTTCCCATTTTTGTCAACTTCCTTCTCAGGCACCTGTACCTGTGGCTTTGTTGTTACAGGTTAACTTCAGGGTAAAGAGATTTATAGACAAACAGTGTCTTACTTGTCCCTTCCTGAGGTTACAGGCTGCTTATTGAAATGAAAACAGTGATGTACCGAGACCTGGTCTTACTTGTTAAAAACATTGTGAGCTATACGTATACCAAATGGCTGTCTGTTCTTCTCTCCCCTTTCCTCCTCCATTTTGCTCTTCTTCTCCAGGCCTCTCTCTCTCTGGGCTCCCTCCCCCACCCGTTTATTTGCATTCTGCTCCAGCTGGTTCTTGAGTCACTTTCCTGGGGGCAGCACTTCAAGTCCAATTAGAGTGGCAGCGAGCAGGAGATGGCCAAAGTGAGAGTGCTGCAGGAAAAAGGCTTTCTGGTCTTGTTTTCTGTTGTAATGATATGCTCCCTTATGCGTCCTGAAAGATGGAAAGCATCGTCCTTAGCCCTGGCCGGCCGTGGCTAGCGCCTGCCCCAAATGCAGGACACCCGGGGAGGCTCGCTCTTGAGCCTGCCTAAAGCTGTGTTGTGCGGCATTTTACTGAGCGTGCCGTCTTGCTTGAGTCCTGTTGCCCAATACACCAAACCTTTTCCCCACCTAGGTCCCTCCCCTTAAGAGAAATGAAACTCAGTCACTATTGCTGACTTACACTCCATGGCATCCTCTGTTTCCATTTCTTAAATACAGCGTTGACTCAGTGTTGGGAGTGTGTTTTCCAGCCCTGCGCTGACACCGGTTCCTGCAGTCTGTGTGGTGCCGAGTCCTTTGTTCACTCTCGGACACTGTGTCCCAGTTTCAGAACATCCTGCCTCTCACCTTGCAGATGGTTCCCCGGTCCTGTGGGTCCCGTGTGTTGTGAGCACAGGAAAGACAGGTGGAAGCACTATTCTAGTTAATCATATTTGTGACAGTAGCTTTGACAAATATTATCCAGCTGTTCTGTCATTCTCCCCGTATTTTAAAAAATTAAAGCGAATTTGGGGTTTTTGTTTCATTTGATGTAGTTTCTTGCCACAACTGCAATTATGTGATGTTGGACCTCAGCTTTCAGGGTCATACTTGGCTGGAAGTGTATTTCTGGGGTGAGTCAAAACACTTAGATACATTACCCTGACATTTGTATTCATGACAGGCATCAAGCGGGGACTAGAAAGCCTTTTGACTGCCTCATTATTGAAAGTTCTATCAATTTGTATTCAAAATTAAACAAAGCCTTTGAGGCTTCGGAATGAAGAACACACAGATCCTCTCTGGGTTTGAAGAGTTCTTGTGATAAGAGTGCTGGCTCTTCTGGCATAAATTACAGAAAGAGAAAGAGCTCAGGGAGAGACCAATAGAGTCGGTTTGAGAATGCTGATTATTTGGCATGAAGTCCAGTTGCAAAGACAGATAATGATATATTGTAAAGATTTCTGTGGGAATCCTAACTTCTCCGCACTGGCCCCGTTGCCCAGGAAAAGAGAAAGCAGTTGCAGGATGCCATCTGGAGGGTTCGTGGCGAGGGAAGTACCCAACATGGCGCCCCCTTAGGAATCAGGTCATGGGCATGAGGTGGTTTCCCACAGGTAATTAATTCCCTGCCGTGACCACATGTCTCTGTGTCCACACTGCTCACACGGCAGTTCTAAAGCACTAAGCTTGTCCGAGGCCGCTGGGCTCTGCTGGTTCAGTCTCTGCGGACTTGTCCATGCTGCCCTCAGAGCACGCGGTCCCCTCTGCCCTGCAGTTCTCCCGAGGGAGAGGATGGCTTTGGAGGTTGGCATTGAATTATTTATTCAGTGGTACTCCTGCCAGCTTCTATTTCTATGTCTCCTGGTGCCCTTTAAATACACATTTAAATCTATTTTGCTTTTTGTCTGAAAATCTTGATTTAGAAAAGAAAGCAAAATAATCAAGATTCTGATTCCTAGTGCCTTTTCTGCCAAATGGTGTCAGGGCAGGAGTGCCCTAGGAGTGTCCAGAGATGCCCTGTGGTTGACCAAATGTCTGTGGTGGGGACGGAGCAGCCCTGTAATTAGCTCGCATGCCTGCAGCTGACCGCTGCTTCCCTCCACACAGGAGAGCTGGAGGGGCGGCTGCACTTGCCATTTTTGTGTCCACAGCTAATTGCAGAGTCACCTCCTCTAAAAGGAACACTCCTGCCCTTTGGAAACGTGGCCTTTATTGTTTAATGGAATTCTGGCAGAAGAAAATAGTTTTCAATACCCTAGAGGTCCTTTACGGATGAGAAATTTATTTTAAACATTTAACAGTTTTGAAATTGTCCTATCGCATAGACATCTCCTGCATCCTCATAGATTACAGAGCCATCCGAGATCATATTCTCTCTAGTGTAATTTTGTTCCCAGCCAGTGATTTGTTTTAACATTCAATCCTGCTTAAGTGCTGAGGCAAAGGTCGGTTGGTTTAATCTTGTAAGATGGTGAAGCCCACTAGGGTAATTGAAAAAAAATAGACAAAAACATTTCATGAAAAATAGTTCACATAATTTGGTGTTTAAGAAACCACACACACACACAGTTAGTTATATGATTGGAATTACCAAATCAGGGACACATGATAAACACTTTTTTTTTTTTTGGTGAGGGAGGAAGATTGGCCCTGAGCTAACATCTGTGCCAGTCTTTCTCCACTTTGCATGTGGGATGCCGCCACAGCATGGCTTGATGAGTGGTGTATAGGTCCACGCCCAGGATCTGAACCCACAAACCCCTGGCCGCCAAAGCAGAGCACATGAACCCAACCACCACGCGACCAGGCTGGCCCCAATAATCACATTTTTACTTTGTGCTCAGTGTAAAGTAAATGCCATTCTGAAGGAAACCAGGAAGTCCCATCGACTGAATAAAGTAAACAGGTTCCAAGGAACAGGCTGTCACCTGCTGTCTTGAGTTGAGAACACAGGCTCAAAGCTGCTCTGTTTTGCATTGTTGGCAAGGATTCTGCCTTTTTTTCCTTAGATTTTCTTCTTCATTTACTTATTCTTCTGTATTTTAGAGAGTTTTCCAACCATGTGAGGTTTCCCTTTAGGACTACAAGGTATGCTCTGCATCTTCTATATGTTAAGAGAGAGAGTCACCTGGCCACTAGCCATCCTCAAGACCACCTCCGGGAAGCTGCCCTCAGCTCTCCCGACATGCAGTTTGCGCCTTTGATAACGCACTTGTCATCCTGCTTTGTACTCATTATGTGTATATATCTGTATGATTTTGTGGAATAATAATTACATTGCTTAAGTAACTATATACCCCTTTCTCACTAAATTCGAGAGGGCTCCTTGAGGGCAAGCCCGTCTAATTCATCTTCTCATGCCCATGTCCAGCTTGGTGTGTGGCAGCTAATAGGGGTCGGAAATCTGTCTCAGATGAGTGATCGTTTAGATCTCCACGGTCTTCCAGTGACAAGAGAGCTGAGCAGTTTTTCAGAAGAATGGCCAGCAGGACAGAAGCCCCACTTTCCTTTCAGGTGTTTTTCTTGAAGAAAGATGCTGCATTACCAGGGAGCAGCCTTAGCCATTTTCTAAGCTGTTCTTTACCAGGGTCTTGGTCATAGCAAGACTGGAGAAATGGTTTATCATCTGAGTGCCACATATTCAAAAAGTTTACATTTGCACTTGGTAGATAAAGAACAGATAGTCTAAAACTCTGATTAGTGACAAAAAAAAATTTCCAGTCTGGGCCCGGCCCAGTGGTTAATTTCATGCACTCCATTTCAGTGGCCTGGGGTTCCCAGGTTCAGATCCCAGGGGCGGACCTGGCACCGCTCGTCAAGCCATGCCTTGGCAGTGTCCCATATAAAATAGAGGAAGATTGGCGCAGATGTTAGCTCAGGGCCACTTCCTCCAAAAAAAAAAAAAAAAAATTCCAGTCAAAGGAGGAAAATAAAGAGAAGTAAAACCAATAGTTGGTAAATTCTTGAGTCAGGAAGCAAATTAATTTACTAATTATTTAAAAGGGGGAGAAGTTTAAAAATACTGATAATAGTTGCCAACATTTAATGAGCACTTATTATATGCCATGCACATGGTGCTTTGTGAAATTATCTATTTTATCTGCATCATTCTACGAAGTAGGTATTATTATCTCCATTTGACAGATGAGGAACCTGGGAACCTGGAGATCAAGTCCAGGACCACACAACTAGTCACTGTAGATTTGGGATTCTAACACAGATGTACCACCTGCAGAGTCAGTGCTTTTAATCACTTGGGCCAGTTGGATAAAAGCTGTCATCATTTATATTTAATATAAAAGGGCTTGTGGGGGCCGGCCTCATGGCATAGTGGTTGAGTTCGACACACTCCACTTCGGTAGCCCAGGGTCACAGGTTTGGATCCTGGACGCAGACCTACACTACTCGTCAGCCATGCTGTGGCGGTGACCCACATACACAATAGAGGAAGATTGGTACAGGTGTTAGCTCAGGGCTAATCTTCCTCAGCAAAAAACAAAAAAGAGGTTTGTGATACCTACTTAAAGTATAGGCACAGAGTCAGTCTTAAAAACCTTCCTTTTTCTGATTTTTCAATGAAGAAAAGATCTAAGCTTCCTCCTCTTAAATAACAAAAAATGTTTTTCTATCTTATTGAAGGAATTCTCTCATCTTATGCCCCTTTAGTATATAAATGCAAAAGTTATCTAAGTTGTTGCCTTTTAATAAATTTAATTAACTTTCAAAACTTGCCTCACGGTCCAGATAAAATTAAGTTTACTACAAGCTACAACTTTGTGTGATCCACATATGTCCCCAGTTTACCTTAGGATTCTGACATCAAAAACTCTGGAGTGTCTTTTAATATTTCAGATGGAGTTGGCTGTGGGTCCATTCTGCAGAAGAGTATCTGATTTAGGAAAGTCCTATCGAATGCTGAGGTCATTCAGGTGAGACGCACTTCTGTTATCAGTGTTCTGTGTCCATATCCTACTAGCAGATAAATCCTTTCCTCCTGTCCATGTTGAACTGTGTGAAGCTGCCAGTATTCAACCATTGGCACTTTTTTGTGGTTTATCTTAAAAATTATTCTTCAAATCAGAAACCCATATAGAATTATATGTAAGGACGAGTAAGTGTGTGTGTGTGTGTGTGTGTGTGTGTGTAACTTTTGAGTTACACTTCACAAGATGGAGCTGGAAAACTTTATTATGTTCTTTTTAGGGGGAGTTTTGTTGCTCTCCATTCTTAGAAAAATATATTGTGTCGTAATACCAGGAAATTCATAATTATATAGATATCTTTATCTGAAATTTTCATTTGTTCATTTGTCATTTTCAGTCCACTCCTAAAAAGGTCATAGGTTACATTTCTAACAAAACTATTGAATAGATATTAAAAGAACTGAGTTTAGTGATGAAATGCAGGGAATGACTGTAAATGTAGTAGATAATTTGGGCTAGAGATGGCTAATGCAGTTGAGCACAGAATTTAGGATTGAGCTTCCTAGAAACCAGTTCAAAAAGAAAACACTGAGTTAATTCAAACTCGTGATCTGAGAATACACCATTTAATGGGACAATCCTTTTAAGTGCTGAATGCTTAGATAGGCCTTTTACCAATTCAGATTTTAAGGAACCACTGAATAGCTTAATGACTGGTGTCTTTTATAGCAGATTTTACAAGCTAAGAAGATATTGTTTATATGGCTGTTTATTCAATAAACCAGAACTTCCCAAACTTTTCCACAAAATGGCACACAGAAAATGTATACACTCAAAAAGATAAGCAGCCCCAAGGGCTGAGGGGATCAACACAATACTTATAACCATTTTGTGACCACAGGACACTCGACGGGAAGCCGTGATATAAACTAGCCCTGATAGCCAAGAGCATGATGGTCTTTGAAAGTTTCTTTGTAGGTGAGGTAAGAGAGTGCAGGCATGTGGCTTTCTAAAAGCCGACTCAGCAGTGGAGCCTAGAGTAATCAATAAGCAGTATGTCCTTTAAATGATCGCTTTGCTTTCTTATGTCGTCAAAGCTTTCAGTATTAGAAAATTTAGGTGTAATAACACTTGAAATAGAAGAACCCCAGTTGTTGATTCCAAAGAGAGCCCTATGCTTTACCTTGCCTATTTGTCCTTGGCAAAGATTTTTTTTTTTTTAATTTTTAACGTTTTTTTTGAGGAAGATTAGCCCTGAGCTATCATCCACCACCAATCCTCCTCTTTTTGCTGAAGAACGTTGGCCCTGAGCTAACATCCGTGCCCATCTCCCTCTACTTTATATGTGGGACGCCTGCCACAGCATGGCTTGACAAGCAGTACGTAGGTCCGCACCTGGGATCCGAAGCGGCAAACCCTGGGCTGCCAAAGGGTAACTTGTGAATTAACTGCTGCACCACCAGGCCAGCCCCTGCAAAGATGTTTTTAAATGTCAACACAGAGCCTGAATTATTTTTCTTAAATGCCCATCTATACAAAGTTGAGTTTCCAAAAAACTTAAAGTGGGATCACAAGTATTTTCAGATACGTTTTTTGGATAAGCTCAACCTTTTAAAAAGTATTTAAATATTTTTTTGAAGCCTTAGTGTTTGGCACTAACACACATGGTCAAGTTGAAAGATTTAGAGGTCCTGAGATTACCAGTCCACCAGTCATCTCTCTGTACCATAAAAATAACTTGATAAAACTCCTTTAAAGTCACTTACTTTGAGTAAGATGGTAACACAGCAATCGTAGTTGGGTGAGAAAATGCTGCCCTGAGTAAGAGAACCATTAGCGTGCTGGAAGACCTCACCCAGCTATCTGCATTGCATATAAAGGCATGGAGAGCTGTGACTTGGGGTCTGCGGTATAAGGCTTAGACTCTTCTTTTTGGTAGTCCTGGCTCTCATGTTGAGCTGTTCACTGCATGCGTAGGTATTAAGATAGTGCTTATCTTCCTGTTTGTGGAGCAAGATAGCTGTTATCCAAGTGCTTTTAAACTTGTGTCACTGTATGAGATACAAGTTCTGAGGGTTTCACATAAGACCAATTCTGTTTGAAGTCATTTAAGATGAGAATTTTCTGTCAACCCTCCCAATTCTCACATAAGAAAGAAATCCCTAAAGAAGTATTTAAAGTTTGAGTGGTGACACCTTCTAGTACCTATTTCTGGAGTAAAAACTTAATGATTGATCAATTTGTAACTTAAAACCCTATATTTTTTATATGTAGCTTCTCTCATGTTGCAGTGCACAATCTAGGGTTTCAGACTTTGGCCATGACTCGCAGTAGAGAGATTTTCTATTGCAATCCGGCACACACTTGCATGCAGACACACTTAGACCTATATACGTGCACACCCACACCTGCGTGAGGGCCCAGGAATGGCGATTACTCACTTCATGTGATGCTCCCTGACAATTCTTCGTTCGATTATTCTAACCCGCTAACTTGGTCCCATGACCCACCAGTGTTTTGCATGCTCCGGTCTCTCGCCTTTCTCTCAGGCCCTTCACTCTTGAACTTCAGCTGCTCTAGTGACGGGCAGAGTTTGTTCCTTCCTACGTATAGAAAAATTTATGCCCTTTTCTCCTGGGACTCTGGTTCCCCTGAGCTTCCTCCTGCAGATGACTCCTTAGCTCCCAAGGCCGTGGCACCTGTGTAATAAGGATAATTCTATCTAGCCTATGGAGCATTCTCTGTGGCATGAATGCGGTGAGAAATTCGAACAGGGTTTTATACATACCGATATATTCCTACAGTTACATCACGTCTGTGGAGATCTGTTGAATCGATCCTCACACTCTCTCAGTTGTTTGATGAGACTTGGACAACCATTTGATAGAAATTTTAGGACTAACTGGATCAGGAAATAAAATGAAAGCATAGTATATTCTGGGGTCCAAATCTGGCCCTAGTCTGCAAAGAATGTTTTAGGTCCCATCTTTTGAGAAGAGAGATGTCATTGCCACCATCTCTGCCTATCGACATTGCTGGGGGACAGCTCCTCGCCCTGCCAGCTTGCCTGCAGTTGTCACATGAAGAGAAGTGACTTAGGAAGGCTGCCTGCGTGGAGGACCCTAGAGTCCCCTCCGAGAGCAGGAGATGAGTGCAGAGTGGTCTTTGTTTCCCTAGTCCAGTTCTGGGCCCTCTATTTCTCTCCCTGCCGGAACTCAGAAGAGCTGTGTCTCTTCTCCAGAATCAGCCTGAGCAGTCGCAGTGGAGGACCCGTGCTTGTTCATCTTCCCTCTGTGCCGTGGGCTGCGGCAGGAAGAGGCCTCATCAGGGGCCGAGTACATAATTGAGCATGGCTCTCGTTCAGGAGTCTCGTCGCCAAGGGTTCTGAATCACACCAGAACCAGATGAATGGTGGTCAGTAGGAGAGTGGCTGAGTAAAATATGCCACAGTCATGGGATCAAATACGTGCAGCCATTAGCAATTTATGTTGTTAGTTAATATCCAAGAATGTGAAAAAATACTTCCTAACACACCATGAAATGAAAAAACAGGCTGCTAAACAGTATATGTGATATGATCCCTACTGTTTTTTAAATAATATTATGTGTGTGTGGAGAGAGGAAAAGCCAAGAGGGATAAACATCAAAATGTTATCTTTGGATAGTAGGATTGTCACTAGTGATTTTTCTTTAGAGGTTTTCTATACTTTTCAAATTTTCTGCCTTGGTTGTTTTACCTTTGTAGTTAGAAAGGTCAATAAATACTTTAAAATCCCTCTTGCAGTGTTTTCCCCATTTAAAAATAACAAAGGAGCTAAAAAATAACATAAAATATACTGAAACATTACACAGTAAGGGAGGGGGCAAGAAAAACAGGCAGGCAAACCACCGAAACCCAGCAGGTCGGGCCTCAGGCTGAAGTGGAGGCAGTGGCTGCGGGAGAGGGCAGCGGGCCCAGTTCAAGGGCCCCTTCGCAAGGGCAAGTGCCAGTGCCAGCCGGAGAGCTCCCAGTCCAGACCCAGGGGCGGCACCGACCACCCCCCCCGCCCCCCCGCCGCTGCACACACACAGACACACGGGCCTTAGCAGGCGCTCCTTCCCCCCACGCAGCCTCCTGCTGCCAGGCCCTGTCTTGTGGACAGGAATATCAGTGGACTAGTTCGTGAAGCCGTAGGCTTCTTAATGCATTTGCATTTTACTGTCTACGTGAGTTTCCCCGGCAGCAGGCATCCTTTCTTACCCAGGACAGGATGCAGCCTCAGAAAGCTGCTGACATTCGGGATTTGCCCCAGGCCGATTTGTATTTCTACACGAGACACGTGTCAGAGCTGCCAGGCCCCATCCTTGTCCATCCCTCTGCAGCATGGCATTGTCCCCTAGATGGTGTTGGGGGTGGTCACCTTGCTCCACCTGGCCAGGGGCCCAAAAGCTCTGACCTTTGACATTCTCAATGCAGATCTTTGTGAGGCAAAGGACGGAAAATGGACCACATGTCCTTCACCAGCTTGGGGACATGGACCCTGCCTTCCAGGTCCAACACCTTTACTCTGGAGGGAGCGGCTTTGTCCCTGAATCGTGTCCACAGCCTGCTCTGCTGGAGGCTTCCCTGGGTTTAATGAAAGCTGTCAGGAGACAGGGGCTGTTAGGATGAAGCAGTGAGCACGAGGGGCAAGGGAGAAGGAAACCATCAGTGATGTGGGTATGGTGTTCGGTCAGCTGTTTTCGGTGGGAGTGGGGGGTGGGGGTCTGTGTCCAGGATTTGTGCCGGTGCTCACCTGCTGCTCAGTACTTCTGGCTGCCGTCTCTGCTGCTGCCATGGTGAGCACTTTTAGCACAAAGACCCCCACATGTGTCCTGTCCTTTCTTTCCGCTTGTGAAGCTGGGGCCCTTAACCCATCCCCTGAAACAACCCTTTCCTAAGGTTTCTGGATTCTTCATTCCAGTGTCCGATTGCACGCTCAAGCCTGGAGGCAGCCAGGCCAGGCCGGGTCTGGTTGGGCGTCTGCCTGCTCTGGCAGGACCAGGAGCACCCTGGTGAGCAGGAGGGATGAGGGTTTAGTTTATTGTTGTTCTCATTCCGGCAGTGTCTGGTCACTTCTCTCTGCTAAGCTTGTGGACAAGCGGCTTTACTGATATTTCTCATTTTGCCCTCACAACAACCCTTGCGAGTCCAGTGTGACCTGCGTGCAGCGGGCGAGGCTGAGAGAGGGCAAGATGCAGGGCTGTGCGTCCAAGGCTGGGTGAGAGTTGCAGGGCTGCGTTTCAGGCACGTTTCAGGTGAGCTGCACTCACCTCCTGCTTCAGAAGGCCTGAGTGTTTGCACGCTGGTTGGTCCTAGCACAGCATCTGAATGCATATGTGAAAACAGCAGGTTTTAAAGGGAATCTCACCTCTCCGCTTTGGAGGCGACCTCCTGCTGTGAGATGCTGCTCTCACTGGGTCCTACTGCATATGGGCTTCAGGAGACGCCTCGGGAACGCTCAGGCAAATGTGCACTTTTATTCTAGAGAACGTCTGCCTGAACCCCTGCCTCTTTCCTGACCCGATCTGCAGGATTGACAGTCTATACTCTAAGGAGCCTGGATGTCCTCTAACCTCTCTGCTTTGAGCCCTGACTCACCCCAGTCCTCACCTCCTGCTTCGTTCTTTCCTGGGACCCACATGGCCCCGCCTGCCACGATATCCAGGCCTCTCTGAGACTCTCCGCGAGGCCTCCCCCACTTCCCTTAGAAGGCCCTCCACCTGTCCTGTTCCACCACCTCATCTCTCTGCTGGCTCCAGATCTCAGTGTACGTCCTCAGTGGTCTTGCTGCCTTCCCAGGCCCCTCAGCAGAAGGAGGCTTGGAGTGGGGGGTGGCAGATGGCCTGGGCCACACTGCTGTTGGGTGTGGACAAAGGACAGCAGGACTTTAGCCTGCCTTCTCTTGGTAATCGGCCTAAAGAAGGCCGACAGTGGCACAGCCACGAGTCACTTGATGTGGAGACCCCCCACTGGAAACAGAGAGTTTTCTAAGGGGACCTAATACTTGATTGGTTACGACCACCTGCTAGCTGTAAAGTTTACCTTGGAAGTGCTGCGTATTTAGAGTATTTTTCTCCAAGAATGATATTTAGGGTAACTGCGTTTTATAACACCTTAATTAATTTCCTTTTGTTCCTTCTGTCACCTCAGGTGGTGATTTAGTTTTTCACTTGCCGGTGTTTCAGATTCCTCCTGGAATCAAGGAGAAGGGAGTTCTCCTGCTGTGTTCTTTCAGACTCTTCAAACGAGCCCCAGAGATAAATGTCTGCATTCCATGTGACGGGTGATTCCGTCAGTGATGCATAACGTGGGCTCAGTCCGCTGTTGCTCTCCACGGTTCTTTCGGCGGCCCTCTCGGTGGCTAGAGGGGAAGATGAGGTCTTGGCAGAAAAATAAGTGCTGTGACTCAGAGCTCCAAAGAGACAGGGGATTGACCAGAAGACCCCACTGTAAAGTGAGCTGGTTCTTAGCAGGCCTGGCTTCCGCAGGCCTCTCGGCCAGCAGCCTTAGTGTGGGCCGGGCTGCTAGCCACGGCACGGCACGGCCCGGCCCGTTCCTCTCTCCCCGCCCCTCCTCCTCCCTGCCCTTCCCTTTCTGCCCTGGATCGGTTGCAGTTTGCGTTAAGAATCTGTGGAAGGAAAACAAAGAGAAACTGAATCAGCTGTGTAATTCTCATTTGCAGAAGGAAGGAAATACATCAATTCCTAAGAGAAAGTGCAGTGTGTCTTAGTTCTTCCTTCTGGAGCACTTGTACATGGGACTTCCTGCAGAGAGCACTGAGAGGTAGGGGACCAAAATCCGTGGTCACCTGCCTGTAGCAGAGTCAGAAAGGATTCCATCCAGCTGCTCTTCAGTAAGTCGAGGACTGTCATACAGGACTCACCCCCTAGGTCTCCGCGTGTCGTGAACGTTCAGGATGAATCCTACTGTGTCACATGGCCTGGGCAAAGAGTGGGCTTTGCTGGGGAAGGGGAAAACCTCCCAGGACTGGGGACAGCAGGGAGAGACGTGAAGGCATGAACTGCCGTCCCCCCACATCCCTCATGTGGCCTTTCTGGCATGCTAGGCCTGCGGTGGAGCCTGGGGCCCAGTAGAGGGTCCCCGTCCCACTGCCCCTTCCCCCGCGGCAGCTTAAACATGGAAGCAGGCTCATCAGCGCACAGCAAGCAGACTGCTCGGCCTCAGGCTGGATTTGCGGTTCCAGGGAGCTATCTGGGAATGCCAGGTGCTCGGCTCTCAGGGACCTTGGGTTGTGAGATGTTACAGCTCCCCCTGCTGGGACGAGAGGTCTCCAGTCTCTGGGAAGTGGAGCTGGGTGCAGCCTCATGCCCATCCCAACCCAGTCAGCTTCGCGAGGCCTTGAAGACAGCGCCACTTGCCATCCTCAGGGACCTAAGGCCATGCAGGTGAAAGTAGCTCCAAGGGAGACTGTGAAGATATGGTTCAAGTGTGTGGGTGACTGGCAGTCCACCTTGACTCAGAGAATTTGGGGTACCCGAAGAGGTAATAATTATGTGGCCTTCAAATGGTATCCTGTGAACAGTTTCTCAGACGGGCTTTCTAGAGGAGCTGTTGACAGTTGGAATCATACTTTCTCCAGGCCTCTTTGATTCTCACTGAGAGTAAGTCCATCTGTTCTAAGAACAGGATGAGAAGTTGCTGCAGTTGATGTCCTAAAAGAGGCTGCATGGCGAAATGAAGAGCCAGGCCGCCTGGGTGTGAATTCTTGCCCTGTCCTTTTCTAGCTTTTACTTGATCTCTCTAGCCCTCGGTTGACCTATCTGTAAAATGGGGCTGTACTAGGACCTCCCTCATAGGGTTGTTTTTCAGGAATAAATGAGTTCACATATGCAAAGCTCTTAAACAGTGCCTGACACACAGTAAGTGCGTATGTGGTAGCAGTTGCTGCTGCTGTTGTTACAGCAGGAGCTTTCACCTAGAAGGAGACAGAGCTGTCCCCACACACAGATGGCCTTACAGGGAGGCCTACAGACAAGACCCAGATTCCCTCAGCAGCGGGTTGTTTCCTGCCTAGGTGCTTGACTCTGCCTCCAGCTCTGCAGTGTGGAACACTGTCAGGTGACTGGCCTTGAAGGTTCTCAAGGCCAATGGACCACCTTCCCAGCGCGGCCATGGGAAGGCCTTCGTCACGGTGTGCCTGCTTTGGAGGTTTACGGATGTCTGGTGATAGGCAACACAAATGAACTGAAATGTTTCCACAGCAACTACAGAATATAAATTGCAGAATGATGTTACTTGATAAAACACTGGAATGAGAAAGATCTCTACCAGAGATAGATTTTACTTCTAGGATAGTTAAATATGAACACGTTCTTTCTAGCAGTACTCTGGACTCACTGAGATCCAGCTGTCTGTTGGGAGCGCTCCTGACTCTTGACATCACACCTTACGCGCGGTGTGAGGAAGCAGCTGGTCTCTCTGGTTGAGAAGGCCTTCCTCCCTGGGGGAGCAGTTAAGATGAGGCGGAGCAAGAGCCCAGGAGACAGGCTGTGTGACACACCTCCATCATCGCTGTGCTGTCAGGAGATGCTGCCCTCTGACCTCTTGAGATTCAGCCTCTGCAGCCTGGCCCGCGATCAGCTCTTGTCCATCAGAGCCCAAAGCCAAGGAGGGGTCAATAAACGTTTCAAGTTGTTCTTGCCACCTTTTGACAGGGTGACGGGTGACTGCTAGTGGGGTAGGTGTGCCTGCATGCTCCTGTGGAAGGGTGGACAGTGACACCAGGTGTGTGGTGTCAGCAGGAAGCCGGCACAGATCTTTGGTGGAATGTTCAGCAAAGTCATAATTTTGTATCTGTTTACAAGAACATAATTGCCCTCTGAAAAGTTGTGTGGAAAATGTTTGAATTTACCCACATTAGATTATAGCCCAAAGAAGGAGTTTACTTAAAATGAGAGCTGAGAGTTTCGACCAAGATCAGAATGTATTAGTTACAACTACTTGAAGGCTTCACTGTGTGCTTGCACTTCAGCCTGTTCAGCAGATGGGCTCTGGGAGGGGATGCGAGTCAGTCACCTTGAAGTCAAGTCAGACCCAGAGGGCCAGTGAGCTGCGGGTCAGGGAAGGAGCTGAAGGGATGGAGGGGGCGGGGCGGGCGGGGAGAGAGAGTGAGTGTGTGTGCGTGCGTCTGGGCCGGCCCGGGGGAGGGGCAAGAAGTACTTAAGAATCAGCCAGTCTAGGGAGAACACTATCGTTCATGCTTCTGCGTTGTGCTGTGAGACTGCTGCGCAACCGCACTCTACCAAGATGCCATTGTGATTCTTCTACCAGATCCCCTCCTGCAGTGTTGAACAACAGGAGGTAACTTCTGCTTTTTCCTCCTGTAGACCGCTGCTCTTCCAGACCAATGAACACGTGGCCAGCAGTCCAGCCCTGGGGGACGTGATTCCCTTCAGCACCGTCATTCAGTTTCTGTTCACGAGAGCGCCTGCTGAGCTGAAGTCCCCCTTCCAGGTAATAAAGTGAAGGCAGAGCCCCCTTGGGTCTCCTCCCTGTTATCTGTGAAGACGAGGCCCCACTCGCTGACTGGGGGCCAGGAATGGCCTTCTCTTGCCTTCTTTAGTCGTGGGTTTCTGTCTTGGCTGCTAATGATTAAGGAAGGAAAGTAGTGCCCCTGCTTTCTCAGCGGTGTAAAAGTCACCTGATGAGTCCCAAATTAGCCCTTTAAATAATAGCGACACAAGTAATCAACATTCGTGAAGGTTTTTGCTGACCCGCCTTCGATCAGCAAGTCCAAAAGGCCGCTGGGGGGTCAGGAGGGTGAACCAAGGCCGCCTCGCCTTCCCTCGGGCAGGTCTTGGGGGTGATGTCCCCTGGGGAATCCCCGAGAGTCCTTTTTGAGCCAGCACTTGCTGCCATTCCTTGGAGACTGTGTGTACTCTCTCCTCTCATTGTGTCCGACCCTGCAGAGGGCAGAGTGGTCCCATGCACGTTTCTCCCAGTGGCTGGATGACCATCCGTCTGAAAAGGACCGGCTCCTCCTCATCAGGTAAAGCCATGTGTTCCCAGGGCACCTCTCTGTTCTGGAAGCCCAGGGAGGGTGGGGGATGCAGGGGAGGAGGAAGGAGCAGACCTGGACGGGTGTGTGCACGTGGTGGCACTCCTCGTGGGAGGCCACCTCACTGCCCGGGCACGCGCGTGCGTGCTGGAGCTGCCGACAGTGGGAAGTCTTGGCACGGCACTTTTTGCTCTTCACGTCCTTCACTTCGCAGTCTCCCCCTCCCCTTCTGTGCTCTCCATGCCTGATCGAGCCCTAGGAACTGCGCACTGCTGGTTTCAAAACCAGCCGCAGCTATGAAAGGACTCCTTGCCGTAGCTCCCCGTTTTCTGCTTCATTCTCATTAGTTGCAGCTAATGAACTGGTGGAGCACAGATGTGAGTAAACTTTTAAACATCCCCAAACGTGATGCAGCTGTTAGTAGAAAACAAGGACAACCATGTAGATGGTTGCAGCCATGTAGATGCCGTGTGCCCTCCAGTAGTGCCCCACTAGTGTGTTTATGCACATATGCACATGTGCACACGCACACACCCCCTTACACCCCAGACAGGCCCAGGGTGGGAAGCTTTGACTGTCACATACGGCTTATTAAGCATCTCTCTCCCATCAGTGTTTTTCTCTGAAATTGCTCTCACCAAAATCTCTAGAGGCCTCTTAGCCACCAAACTCAGATGTTTCTGTTCCTGCTTGTCGCTCTGCAGTCTTAGCTAGAGTTGACCACCACCTCCTTCTTGAAACTCCTTGTCGACTGACTGATTCAACACATTGTTATTGATGCTGACCATGTGCTGGGCCCTGAGGACACGGCCTTGCCTTCTCGGAGCTCCTGTGAACCCTGTCATCAGTTTCTGCTTTGTCCTCTCTGGCCTTTGTTTTCCTCAGCCTCCTTTGCTGCGTTGTCGTCTTCTAGCCATTCCTTAAATGCCATCATTTCCCACAGCTCGTTCCGGGCTCCTTTTCCTTCACGCTCTGTGTGTACCTTGGTCCCCAGGTGAGCCCATCCAGACGCATGACTCTCGTGACCTCTCTATCCTGATGGCTCCCAGGGCTGTGGCTCAGCTTGATTGCCTGGGGCCTCAGGCCAGCACACTTGCTCTTATAGGTCACCACTCACGGCCCCACAGACATCTCAGCCCCAAAATCTTTAAAATAAATCACCCTTCCTCTCAAACCTGCTCCTTCTCCTAGACTCCCTGTCTTGGTGGGTGTGTCACTGTCAGCTGTCCAGCCAAGCTAGAAAACCTTTCATTATCGTTCAGCTCCTCTGTCACCCTCGTTCCCACATCCAGTCAGTTGTCCCTCTTAAATAGCTCTTGAAGCCGATCCCAGCTCTCCCAGGGCATCCTCGTGCTGTTGGCCAGGGGACCATGGCACTACACCAGCCTTTGCTCCAGCCTGAGTACAGGTGGTAACTTGGGTTCCGCAAAGCCAGAGCGGGGCTCATGTGGTGAGGTGATTCTGAGCCGTGTTTGCACATGGGAATAATTTACAGAGCTTGGAAAAACCCTGGGGTCCAGCCCCGCCCCACCCCCCGCCCCGACTACCTCAGCATCGCTGGGGCTGGGGCCTGGCATCAGGATTTCTTCACGCTGCCCCAGCGGTTCCCTGCACAGCCGAGGCCGAGATGCCTGCCCTAGTTATAGCTGAGAGACCACCAGGGAGGGAGCGACAAGAGGGCACTGAGAAACATCAGCCCAGCAGCTTCGGGCACACTTCAGAGCCTCGGTGAGCCGCTGGCCCTCCGCACGGGGGCCTGTGTGGGTAAAGAGTGGATTAGCCCGGGAGTCTGCTCTGCTCCTTATCTGTCACTCTTCTCAGCTCTGAGCATCTGACCAAGAAATGGGAAAGGCTGCCAGTCCATGTGACCGCTGAAAACCGCCCTCAGACGAGGCTCCGGGTGTGGGGTGGGGGCTGGGCCTGGGGCTGAGTCAGGGGTGTGCAGTCTTGGTGGACTTTTTCCTGAGTCCCAGAGACTCTCTCAGGGGTAACAGACGAGGATTCAGGATTCAGTTCATTGAACGGGGTTCAGTTTCGTCTTCTGAACGAGTTGGAATGTGTTCATCCACACAGTTGGCCTGTTGTGGGCACATCACAAATCTGTTTCTTTTGCTTCTCTTTAAAAATGTCTCCTGAGTGGTGTCATCAGCACTGCTGTTGCTGAGTCTAGATTTAGCAGCTGAAAATCATGCTCAGAAAGACGGTCGTGCCTTTTCAGTAAGGCCCACCCATCACTCCACACACGCCTGCTGTCAGAGCCTTCGTGCCCTGAGCGGCCGGTCGCGCCCTCCCTGGGGGAGTCTGAGACCCCGTGCTCCTGGCCCGGCCCAGGCTGTTGGCGAGGAGGGAGCTTGCTCCTGGACAGTGTTCTTTCTGATCTGTTATTGCAAAACAACTTTGTCCCTGTGTCCGGAAGCACCACTGGGTGAATTCCTTTCCCCTGCGGATAAACCCAGGCCGAGGACTGCTCTTTAAATGTCAGTAAATGTGTTTTCGCTCTGGGGGCAAACCTCGTCGTGTACTCCTCTGTGCCTCTGGCACCGTGTGAAGTCGTCACAGAGGAGGGCGCATCTGGCCAAGTGTAACTCCTGCTGCTGAAGAAAGGGCAGCTAACGAACTCTCCTCTGCCCTCCTTTTGGTTTCCTCTTGACACCAGATGTTTCTCTAGAGCTCGAATGGGTACTTGTCAAGTGAATTTTAAAATCAGAGTAATCACGGACTCATGGGGCCAAGTGGTGTGAGTCGGGGCAGTTGTACCTACTCGGCCCCCACGGGCAGCCGCTCAGACAGGCGTGTGCCCTCAGGGACGGAGGCGGCAGCGCGGGGAGCCCTGTGGGACTGTCCTCAGTAAAGATGCAGACTGAGTTTGTGCTGCAGAGCTCTCGCAAGCTCTGCGGCAGTGGTGGGAGTGGCCTCAAACCCACTCACTCTTGGGACTTGCAGTGGAGCGCCAGCTCTTCCTGCTGCTTCTCCTTCGTCTCTGTGACTGGAGAACACCTTTATGATGCCACAAATGTTTACAGACTCTATCTGCCTCTCGGTACTTTTTCTCTCTCCAGTTAGCAGACACTTCTCGAGGTTGGGTGCCTTCTTGCCTCCTTGCCCTCCCGCCGTGGTCCAGGGCCCACAGGCTGGGAACTGCTCCCTCAGCTCCTCTGTATGTCTGCAGAACCAGAGGATCCCCGCTGGCGGAGGGTGACGTTTGTGCTCTCCTCCTGGTGTCTCTGTGGCACTAGATACCACCAGTTCTGAGAACCGGGTGCCCGAGATGGGACCAAGAGGGAGGGTGGAGCCGCGGGCAGGCCGGGCCTCTCCTGCCTGTGGAGGCACGTGGTGGACCTTTAAGTCATTAGGTTTGACTTTTACTGCCTGCCTGAAGTCAGTCTTGTGTTCCATTAAAACCTCTACTCGGCTACTTGGTGTCACGTTGAGCAGTGCTGCCGTGTGGCCAGAAGCCCCATTCCTCTACTAATTGCACAGCTCCTGTTCTAATTTCTTTTTCAATAAGGCTAACTTTAATATCTGCTTATGTTGGCTACACTGGATTGAGACTAACTCTTACATAACGTGTGGCCTTACTTCCAGGAACACTGATGTTTTGTTCGAGCAAATGAAGTAATTTGATAATTGCTTGAGAAGTTTGCTCTGCTCTTGCGTGGGAGGGCAGCTTTAATCTGTGTCTCCTCATCGTTCTGACGGTGCTTCTGATGAAGACCAAAAACCTAACCAAGCTCGCTTCTGCACTTTCTCTACACGTTGTCTAGTTTGTGGGATGTCAGCCTTTTGGAATGCAGATAAAGCTGCTAAGTTGATTTGTCTCCGTTTATTAGATAAAATGGATCTAATCCATTCCCTACAGAACGATGACAGTTTCTCTGAATTTCAGGGCACTGATCTCTCAGACTGATATAGATATACATGACTGTCGCAGACACTTGGGCTCTTGGGGATTTCTGTCCTGCATGTGAACCTGCAGGGAGCACATTTTGGGAGCAGGGTGATTGCTCAGGATGCCATGGCAACTTGGAAAGCATTCCTCAAAGAAGCAAGTGTCCTCGTAGAGGAAGCGCTTCACTGAGGCCCAGCTCTGACATGCGCTCAGGCGCCTCACAGAACGTTATCCTCTCAGAGCATTAAACTCCACTTCGCACGCCTGTGCTGCCTTTGAGGATCTCTACCATCACCTTTCTCCTTTATTTACTTTCTTCCGCACTTTTATCTTTATTGTTTATTGCAGTTCTATCTTTGTGTATTTCTAATTTATTTTTTTTAATTCATTCACCATGTATTTGTCAAGCAGTAGGTCCCGGGGCTTCAGAAATGAACAAAACAGCCTCGACCCTCAAAGTTAAGTTACATCTTAAGAGGGAGACTTAGAGTGAACAGCTGCTTGCACTATCGTGTGACAGTGCCGCGGAGAAGCGTGAACAGCTTGCTCAGCTACTGGAGAGTCTGAGCCCCCACAGGTGTGGAGGGGGCACCAGCGTGTACGGGCTGTGTCGCCGCCTCTCTGCCCCTGGGAGAGCCAGGAGCTTCACCCTCTTGGAGTTCTTATGACTGAGTCTGGTAGCCGGTCTTCCCATCTTGCAGATGAGGCTCAAAATGTGGCCTGGCTCGCTCAGCTAGGCAGGGGCAGAGCCTGACCTGTAGGCGTGCCTCGTAAACGGGGGCCCGCTCGGCCCTCCGCACGCTGCTTCCCCGTAACCCAGCCCTGCAGGGAGCTTCGAGCCGGCCTTCAGGCCGCAGCCCCCACCCGATGCTGGGCTCCTGCTCAGCCACGGCCATCGATGCCGAAGGCCGGGGCCTCGCCACAGATTTGTGTCACCCATGGCGGTGGTAGGTCTTTCACGCGGTCTGGAGTTTACAGGAAAGGCTTTAGCAGCAAGAGGGCCTTGGAGCCTGGTCCTGAGTGAAGGACATTCCAGGGACAGGGACGATGATGAGAAAGGCCAAAGAGAATGGGCCTTGATAACGAAGAGATGTTCAGTGCGGTCGAAGAGAATCAGGCCCTGCTGCGGCCAGCCCTTGTGAGGCAGAGACATCTTTACTTCGGAGTGCTCTTCTCACAAACCCCCCGACCTCTCCCTGGGTGGGCTTTGAGGTCGGGCTGAGTCACAAGCGGGGTGAAGCCACACTGTGCGTGTTGGTAACACAAACAATGGGAACTAATGCTGGGAGGGTCTTCCTAGGCCACAGCAGACGTCTGGAGCCCAGCAGCGGCACAGACAGGGTTGGGGGAGATTGATGGTGAAGCTGGTGTTCGGTGGGGTCGCGTTTGCACACTGTCCTGATGGGACTGGGGCATGGCAAGTGAGGAACTTCAGGCAGCTGTCTCTCGCTGTAGTCGGGGCTGAAACAGGCCCAAGGCTGCCCGCCACCTCCAGGCTGCAGCAGCACTTAGGGCACAAAGTGGCAGGATTCAGACTGCAGCAAGGGGAGGGGCCTAGATGCGGAAACACCTAAGGGAAACGAACAGTGCTGGATACCGACACGGCACGGGCCTGGAGGAGAGCTTCAGACAGCGACCTCGGGGAGGTGACGGCGCCCTTTGCTGAAACCGGGGAGGGAGGGAGATCACTACCCTATGGGAGACTTTTCCCCCTAGGTTTCTTTTTTGATAGACTTTATTTTTCAGAGCAGGGCTAGGTTGACAGTAAATTTGAAAAGGTACAGAGATTTCCCGTACACCCTCTGCCCCCAGAGATGCACAGCCTCCCCCATTATCAACATCCCCCCCACCGAGTGGTGCACTTGTTACAATCGATGAACCCACACTGACACGCCATCACCCGAAGTCCGTAGTTTACATTAGGGTTCCCTCTTGGTGGTGTACAGTCTGTGGGTCTGGACTGCCCTAAGTTTCTGACAGCTGAGTTTGAGGGATACGTGGAAGAACTCAGATAAAGACGTCCAGAACACAGGCGGAGACAGACCAGGAGGGAGGCCAGGCCAGAAATAAGAGATTGGAGATTCCGTCATGTACAGTAGCTGAAACGAGGAAGGCAGATGGTGGGGGGAGGACGCTGGAATGAGCCAGGAGCTGGCCAGACTCCGGGCGGGCGTGTTCCCCACAGCGAAGTGAAATAATGAAGCAACCTGACCGAGAATTCATATTCTCACGTTTGGGAGCAAAGAAACCAGTTCAGAGTTACATAGTAGATGAGACTTGAGATTGAATATGTGAGCTGAGTAACGGTGTTAACTTACATCTTCACAGAAATGCTCTAACCTCAGAGTGTGAAACTTTAAACAATATGATGATGACAAAAATTTGATTGTTATACTTGGGACTTAAATAGACCAAGAATGGAAAAATAATCTTTTAACCATTGTTTTTAACTCCACTTAAACATGATCTGACATTTAAACAGATCATCTGGTTGAGGGATTGGAAGGCCTTTTCCATAAAGGGCCAGATAGTAAATATTTAGGCTTTTTTGCAGGCCAGGTGGCCTCTGCCTTGACCGTTCAGCTCTGCGCTGCAGTGTGAAAGCCGCCAGACAGAAGAGAAAGGAACCAGCGTATAAGGGTGCATGTGGCCATGGGAGTAGTTTGCTGACCCCCTGCCCTGATCTGTTGCACAAGAACATGATAATCATAAATAACCGGCTGGTACCACATACCCTTGACTAAATTCAGTCTGCCCCCTTAGCATGTAATCTGCCAAAACTTCGAGCCAAGAGCAATTTATTCTCCTTGTGGTTCATATTCCGTCAGGTAACAGGACTGTAACGCCCCTTCCCGTGTTGCGGTGTGTGGCAAAGGCGGGGCCCACCGGAGCACACCGTCCACGATGCAGGGCTCCCCTCGTGGCCTGCGCACACGCGGGCTGCATGCGGCTGTGCAGGAGTCTCTCTGGCGCGGCGTGGCGCAAAGGGAGGCCAGAGAGCCTCTGCCGCTATGATCTCACCTCAGGCACAGCGCAGACTGAGAGTGTCTGGGGCTCTGCACCTTAACCACGGTCACTCCCCACCAAGGCCGGGAGGCTGTCGGCCACTCAGCTTGCGGAAGTGGGCGTGGCCATTCCAGAAGTGGGCTTGTTTCTTTTATATACTGGCACCCTCTAAGCTTTTAATTTTTTGACATTGTTTCGTTTTGGTTTTCAGGGGAGCCCTGGAAGCTTATGTTCAATCAGTGAGAAGTAGAGAAGGCAAAGAATTTGCACCAGTTTATCCCATAATGGTTCAACTGCTTCAAAAAGCTATGTCTGCTCTTCAGTAGTCATGGGAAGTATTTCTTAACTTCCACGTTGCGCTAAGCCATCCAAGGTTGGCAGTGACACTGACACGTACTTAAGACAGCTACTTTCCACCCGGTTAAGAATGTAAATGACTTTTCTCAATTTCCTCTTGATGTTGATCTCTTTCCCTCTTTAGCCCTAAACAGCATAAAACGTCAAAACAGATTCATCACCACCACCATCAAACTCCAAGGACCTGCTTTTTCCAGAAAGACCTCCAGCTCTTGTCAGGCTTTTCTACGAGGCTAGCTCAGATTTCTTTCCCTTCACGTATCAGAGTTGCCCTCTAGGTACACACACAAAGCCCCACTGCTTCCGAAGGGATATGATCAGGTTATCTGAGTACCTGCTTCTCCCAACCAGTCCTCCCCTCTGGATGAGCGGGTGGCCAGTGGTTTCCAAATCTGGCTGCACATTAGAGCCACTGGTGGAAGCTGCAGAAAATCTTGATGCCCTAGTTGCACCTAGTATCAGCGTATCTGAGGGAGGAGCCAGGCATTAGTATTTTTTTTACACACCTCCCCAAGTGTTTCCAATATGCAGCCAAGTTTGGGAACTAGTGGAATACCCTGAAGCTGAGACATAAGGTTACGTGTTGTTTAAACATGTCACATCCTCTCTTTAATAAAGATAGAGCAAGGCCGTCTGTACACTTTGTGCGTCGTCATTTTATTAAAAGCAGACGTTGAGGGCGGTTTGATTTTGTAGCAGAGGGGCGAAGTCAAAGCAGCTTTTACTCTACAAAGAGTCTTAGAAATAGTAGATAATCTAGGTCCTTGTTTTTCCTTGCCCTGTCATTAATATTTTGTTCTTAACGTTTAAAATCCCCGTCAGCATCTCCCGTCCCCTGAACCCGTTATTCTGATGACTCACGCACAAAGCGCAGTCACGGTCAGCGGAAGGCAGAGAGAGAAACAATTTTGTCCATTTTATTTGAAATAATATACAAGAATATAGTGTGCAAACTTGAGGGGCAACATCCTGAAAAGTATAATGAACTGAAATCAGTTTTACAGCTGTGATCCCTAACCAGAAACACCGCTCGGTAAATTACAGGACAAGCCATGATTGTAGCTCAGAGCAAAAGCAGCTGCATTGCCAATGTGTTTGCTCTACTTTTAGACAGCTGGAGGAAAGTAAAGTGCAAGTGTTGCACTGTCACAAGTGCAAAGTCTGCCCCCACCAGAAAGATACGATGACACATAAGATAGTTAAGATAGGTGGCTGAGGAGATACAGAACACAAAGTTAAAAAATACAATGGTGTCAACTGTTAACAGCACCATTACAGTGACTATATCCCAATGCTATTAACTAACTGTCCCTCGGCCTGGGCTGGGTCGCCCCTGGGAAGCGTGGGTGGGTGCTGCCACCTGGTGCACACACGCGGCATAACGGCGCCAATACAGCAGGTGGCTGTTGCGCTGGAACGCGGACGCCATCCACCTGCCACATGTTCTGGCAGCCTCTTGGCACTGGCCACACTAGGAGCTCCCGTGTTTGGCACAGATGCTGAGCTATGTGGTGGTCGGTCAAGGAAAGGCCAACTCCCAGCTTCCGTTTCCTCCCATTATGTGTACAATACAGATTAATAAGCAGTAAGGAGGCAATGTATAAACAGCAGGTACATATTCTTCAATTCCCCTTTTGTACAATTTAAAATAGAACATGTAT